TACGAAGTGTGCACCTCCAAGCAGGCAGGAACTCCTTGTGGAACACTGATATTTACCCAACTACCTAAGAGTCGCCTCACCAATATTAACCCCACTTCATTCCTAACTTACTATGGAAATGTAGAGAAGACCTGGGGACTATATACCCTACCCTCCCTAAGCCCTGACAAGTATCCATACCCTGGAGCCAAAGTTTCCTTGTAAGCCCCATGTAGTAGTGAGGGCCAAATTAATCACAAAGGTCATAAAACTACTTTTCTTAATTTATAATAATTTATAGTGAATTTTTAACTTTTACTGAACCCTAGACAAATTATTAATTATCTCTGGTCTTCAGTTTCCTCATCCATAAAATATAGCCAATACTTCCTTTATAAAAGGTAATTTATATGTACAAAGACCAATACAGTGCCTGACATACAGCAGATATTAGATAACAGGTAGCTTTTACCTAAGAAGCAAAAGTCTAAAAAAGAAGATAAAAGAAAATGTTTGGGCTTGAAAATAAATCTGCCAGGAATCAGATACTTAGTGGTATTTAACCAAGGTGGTTAGAAACGTGTGGTGGAAGAAGAGAGTTGCCAGTAAAGATGAATATAGAAGCTAAAGTATTTAGTGAGAGAGGGCCAAGGGTCATATACACATGCCCCACATAATGGAGAACTGTCCACACAAGATGCCAAGAGCACTTCTCCTGAGATACTCTGAGAGGGCACACCAATTTAAAATGGGGGAAGGGGACCCACTTTATAAATTATTAAATACAACAAAAATTCCTTTTGAGGAACAGAAATGAACTGAAACATAAGTGTAAAAATAAAGAAAATGATTCTTTCTACAGAAGACCATCTAAAGACTGTAGAGGAGACCACCCACCAAAAACAAAAGAAACAAGCTTTGTTGTTAAGACAGAAAGGTGAGACACAGAGTAGTTACCTAACTTGTCCAAATTTGTGCCCAGGCAACCTAAGCCTACTTTCCAAACTCTTCCCACTACACCACACTTTATGAGCTTGCAAGGTGATACTTCATAGAAAAACTGAGAAGAGCCAATCACAGTTAAGAAGGCAGCTTATTTTCTTTTACATGTTCATAGTTGTGGTTTTATGTATACTATATTCGGATTCTGCCAGCAATTTACCATCTCTGCTATCAGGATGTGTTATAATCAAGAGTAATCTGGATTCAATGAAATTAGTAGTTTGTACAATGGAATTAAATTCTTTACTAGAGAAGATGAACTGTTTGCAAACTGCACCACACAGCACTAGAGGTCATCAGAGCAGGCAACACAGGTTAAGGAGGCTCCCAATTCAACAAAACCAGTTTCATTTTTAGGTTTTCCCTTTTTTTGAGGGGGCATTCATATATGCTCTTATAAAGGAAAGGTTTCTACTGATTTAAAAAAAAATGCTTTGAAAATCATGGAACCAGATCAATTATTAAGATCTCTTGAAGGTGTTAGATTTCACAAAATCCTGAGAAACGACTCACAGATTATATAACCAAGGCTTTAAATTCTTTATTGCCTCCAAAGCTAGTATATTTTATACTCTACGTACTTCTAGACTTGGAGGGGGATGTTACAAGTATAAATTTTAATGGCCCATATAGTGATAATTATATTGATCTTAACACTGAAACACACACACACGTGTGCGCGCACATGACCAGAGCTCTCAAACTCTAGAAAACAGTAAGAAGCAATATTTTTGCATCAAAGGGATTTTTTTTTTTAAAGTCACGTATGTGGTCATGCCCCTCCCTTAAAAACACTGACATTCATTTAAAAAAATCTCCACTTTGCACTGGGCTCAGCTTTTTGAAGTTACAAAGATAAACAAGACATGTATCACCTTAAGTTTTAAAGGTGTATCAGACATTCGTCAAATAACTGGGTAGAAAGAGGTAAGGTGCCAAAGAGAGGCAAGGAGTGAGAGGTGCAGAGAAAATGCAATGGGGGAAAGAAAAAGAAGAAAATGCAATGGGAGCTCAGCAGTGGAAGTAACTAGTTGACCTTTGAACAACGTGGGTTTGAACTTCACAGGTCCACTTATATGTGGATTTTTTTTTTTTTAAATAAATACAAGACAGTACTGTAAATGTATTTTCTCTCAATTTTCTGAATAACATTTTTTCTCTAGCTTACTTTACTGTAAGAACACAGTATATATAGGGGCGCCTGGGTGGCTCAGTTGGTTAAGCGACTGCCTTCGGCTCAGGTCATGATCCTGGAGTCCCTGGATCAAGTCCCGCATCGGGCTCCCTGCTCGGCAGGGAGTCTGCTTCTCCCTCTGACCCTCCCCCCTCTCATGTGCTCTCTCTCTCTCTCTCTCATTCTGTCTCAAATAAATAAATAAAATCTTTAAAAAAAAGAAAAGGAACACAGTATATAATACATATAACTACAAAATATGCGTTAATTAACTGTTAATGTTATTGGTAAGGTTTCTGGTCAACAAGGCTATTAGTAAAGTTTTTGGGGAGTCAAAAGTTATACATGGATTTTCAACTGTGCAGCACCCCTAACCCCCCATGTTGTTCAAGGGTCAACTGTACTTCCAACTGTGCAGATACAAAAGTTATTAGAAGGAGTGGCCTGTTCTGGAAAACAGCATGGGGGTTCCTCAAAAAGTTGAAAATAGAGCTACCCTATGACCCAGCAATTACACTACTGGGTATATACACCAAAGATACAAATGCAGTGATCCGAAGGGTTTCTGCACCCCAATGTCCACAATAGCCAAACTATGGGAAGAGCCCAGATGTCCATCGACAGATGAATGGATAAAGATGTGGTATATGTAGACAATGGACTATTCCTCAGCCATCAGAAAGGATGAAATCTTGCCCTTTGCAATGAGACTGTGGATGGAACTAGAGGGTATTATGCTAAGTGAAATAAGTCAATCAAGAGAAAGACAATTATCGTATGATCTCACTAATATGTGGAATTTAAGAAACAAGGCAGAGGATCATAGGGAAAGAGAAAAAAAAATGAAACAAGACAAAATCAGAGAGGGAGACAAACAATAAGAGACTCAATCTCAGGAAACAAACTGAGGGTTGCTGGAGGGGAGAGGCATGGGGGGATAGGGTAACTGGGTGATGGACAATGGGGAGGGTATGTGCTGTAATGAGCACTGGGTATTATATAAGACTGATGAATCAGACCTATGCTCCTGAAACAAATAATACATTATATATTAAAAAAAAAAAAAAAAAGTGGCCTGAAAAGGAGAGTCCAGAAGGGAAGGGACAAATCATTTCTGCATTCTGATACATGACTGCACATTCGTTTGTCATTCAACAAATAGTTCACAGTCTAGCAGGAGAGAAGGGTAAGTAAACAAACACCTAAAATACAATGTGTGAAGTATAATACGTATGCCCGTGCATAATATTAATGAAAAAAGGAGGGATAAATTTCCATGGGGTCGTGAGGAGAGTAAACAAGGAGGGGAAGGAGGAATGGTGACTTCATCATGGCCCTGAAGATGAGCAGGAGTTTACTGGAAAGAAAAGATATTTCTGGCAATAGGAACAACACAAGCAAAGGCATGGTGAAGTGAAAGCATGTGGTGTCTTTGGGGACCGGCTGTGGGGGAGTAAAGAGGAGACTGATGATAAAAGTGAAAACGAGGCCAGATCGTGAGGAGCTTTAAGCCCCATGCCAAGGAATTGGGCTTCAGTACAGTAGGCATGAAGGTTTTAGGCAAAGAATGATGTCATATAAGCACTATGAGACACCCTTTCTAACATTAAAATTTTTCAAGGCTATAAAAATACGCAAAGTTTCCATTGGCTGCAAAAACATATAGAAGAACATTAATTCCAGGACCCCTTGAAATCACTCCAAAAGGCCCCACTGGCCTTGAGTCCAGTTAAGGGTTCCCACAAGGCTGGAACTATTTACTATTTACTTTTCTTTGGATTACCAGGACACGGGATATAGTGGAAACAACAGGAACTGGTTTATGATGAAGAACAGTTTTAAGACTGAACAAAATATGACTCCAAGGCTCCTGCCTGATCACCTCAGTGGGGTGCTGATGAGAAGAATGTTAAGTTTTGCCTGAGAGACATTAAGATTCAGACATCTACAGGATGTCCAAGTGTTCTGTCCATAAGCAGTTAAAACACAGGTTTGGAGCTCCAAAGAGAGTTTGTAGCCACAGATACGAATTTGAACATTACCACGCACCGTACTGGTGACAGCTGAACCTATGTGGATGGGTGAGGTCACGGAGCACGGACAGGACCCAGCTCAGAATCTAGCAATCCCGGGGCAAAGAGGAGACTAGACAGAGACAGAGAAAGATCACTCAGAGGAGGAGAAACAAGACAGCTATCATGTGAGTCTAGGAAGGTACACAGTTCAGAACACATTTGGAGTATGGTGCCCAATGACAGAGGGTCAGTTAGTACGAAGACTAAGTGGCTGCTGGATTTGGAAACTGGGTAGTCTCTGATTTTCATTTCTCTGGAGTGGGTAAAGAATAAACTGGGTTGAAGAACAAATGAAAAAAGGGAAGAAGAGGCAGTGTAGCTCACTCTGCTCAAAAAGTATGGCAACAAAGAGGAGAAAGGTGTTGACGGGTTGTCTGGCTGGGAGAAGTACGCACATTTTGTGCGTTTTCTTTTTTTATAGGACTTACATCTAGAGACTCTGAGAACAAGGACTGCCTTCAATATTCTTACAGCATCTACTAGATTATATAATAAAAAGAGCAGCACTACAAAATCACTGTTTAGAATGCAAGATACAGATCTCTCACACACTTCACTAAACTTTAACTAAACTGCCAGTGGAAAAGGGAGAGAACTAGACTGAACCAATTAGATGGTCATTAAATTCGAGTCATTTACCTGCTCGGGGTGACTGTTTAAAAGAGGCCACGCCTTGTTACGTAATTTGACAGGCTCTGTGAGCAACACCGGGAATGCTGTAAGATGTTACCTTAATTCCTTCACCCTGGGCTGCACAAGGACATACTCACCTCCATAGTAGAGTCCTGTAGCAGTGCACATCCGCCACTGTCCCTGATACATTCCTGCTCTGCTGGGGCTGCACATCTGGACGCTGACATCTGCAATCTCTTGGGGCTCTAGCGATCTCACCATCACCATGTTCACATGTCCAAACTGGTCTCCCCCGACATATTTAAGACAAACCCCTGGAGGCCAGGCCTCTGCCCCTGAGTTCAAGCAAAAGAAAAAAATGTTAGGCAATTAGTGGTCCTAGGCTGGGTGCAGTTCATTACAAAACTGTAGAAGAGGCCGCTTTCTCTGTCTTTGGCACATACGTGAACCTAGCCACATATCCTTGAGCTATATAATGTCACAAGACTGACCAGAAGGAATTATCAGAGTTAACAACCTCTGACCAACTGTCTATCCCTAAGATAAGGCACATATGACCAAAGCAAGGCAAGCAAGAAGATGTGTTTCAGGGGACCCCACACATCACACTGAATCCGTAGAATCTAAGAATGATGTCCACGAAGAGGCGTGGAAATGAAGCACAGACCCACATCTTTGGAGGGCTGCTTTCTTCACTAAGAGGTAACACATGTCCATTTTCACTGGAACTTTTTAAGCTGACATTCTAAGTAAAAATACATGCGATTGCCCCTGGTTTTTCTATCAAGGCAAGCAGATGAAACACGTGAGGAATAATTTCTATATTACTTTCATTTTAAAACTTTTTCCCTGATACACAACTTTTCCTTCTGGAATCCTTAACTATGAAAAGACCAAAGTACAAGAGATTCTGCAAATACGAGACAGAGGAGTCAAGTGAAAGTTTCATTTTCAGGTTCAAACAATAGTGGGGAAAGTAGGAACAGGGGCATGAACTCCCCTGCTAACAGCACACTGAACTGTGGTCTCAGAGGTGATGACATCAGCCAGAGGTACGTGTATAAAGGATAGGAATGGCAATATAGGGACAAGGCATTGGCAGGAATGTCTTTCCTCCTTTGGAGGTGATAAAGATCTTATTTGGGTACCTCCTCCTGCGTACCTAGTTTTATGTAAACTAATTCAAAACGAGCAATCCATATATTGACTCGTTCTGACAAGTCATAGGGCCACTCAGGGCCTCTAGGTCATCTTTCCAGTGAAGTCTCTCCAGTATACTCCTTTTTACTGTAGACAGAAACCTCTGTATCTTTTGGGGGGATATATACATTATACATTATAAAAATTAATCACCGTGAAAAGGTGGACATGGCAGGACTCCCAGGACAAAGCACGCTTGAAACTGATCTCCTGAGAGTACTCTAGGACGCATTAGTATCTTGTTCTCGAAGTGCCAGATTGGTTTTGATATACCTGAGGACGTACTATTGCCAAGGGAACCAGAGAGAAAGGCAGCCACAGCTCTACTGCTGAGACTGCAGCCCCATCCTGGACGGCACACTCTGGGGCTCCTAGGATTTAAGGGGTAGCAGATGAAGCAGTGGGCACAATGTTTTGTCGGACCCTCTTAAAAACACACCTGCCAGCAAAGTGCCATCCAAAGTTAACACCATAAAGGGCAACTGCTGCAGGTGGAAAGCTTGTGGGGGATACCCTGACAATACCTGTATGTTGTCTGGCATTTCTGGGGCCCACGGGCTTGGCAAAAGCCTATCAGTCTGAGGTCAAGAACAGCAGCAACTGGCATGGAGCACCTTGGAAAATGTCAGTCTCTTTAGAGACCAAGATCCAAGAGGAAAATTCAACTGCTGTGCTGGGGCTGAATTCACAATTGTTCTTTCAAACACACATACACACAACACCTGTAACAAGACAACATCTGTTGGTATGAAACATCTGTTGGTGTCTGTTTTTGAACTTCTAAGAAACTAAGGAAAAGGAAGACTGCCTGGGTGTGAGAAATGTGTGGCTGGCTGTCCCGAGCACACAACCACAAGTAGCCGAGATGGTCAGAGCTCCCCGCTCTGCAGAAGAAGGGGTGCTGCTGTGCTCCAGAGACACTGAGTTAATTGGTAAACATTAAGTGATTAAAAATTAGGCAGCTAAGGTCCTGATCTTTTTTACTACAGACACTCTATTCATGTGGTGCCTGGGGAGCTTGTTGGAGAAAAAATTGCATGAATTATCCATCATCAACTCTAAAGTGTTAATTTGCTGTAAAGTGAAGAACCAATCATTCACTTTCTGAGAGTTACCAAGAGTTCACTACGACATTTAGTTCTTACAGCCTAGTAAGTCCGGCAACTCTAAGAAGGTCCAAGATACCAGTTCTTAATACAGAAGGAAGGTAAATACCGCTGAGCTGTATGGACCACCAGCATACCTAAAATCTGGATTTGAGAAGTATTAGTACAACAGGGCCTCAAATTAAGTCTCAGTTACAAACTGGCTTACTGGGGGACAGATACATTTAGAAGAAAAGAAAGACTAATCTGTGTTTTATGACTTTCCAAGTATCACAAGCACACATATGATCAAGGCTGTGATTCTCCAATTATCATGGAATATAATTTTATTAAAAAAAAAAGTAGGGGCGCCTGGGTGGCTCAGTCGTTAAGCGTCTGCCTTCGGCTCAGGTCATGATCCCAGGGTCCTGGGATCGAGTCCCACATCGGGCTCCCTGCTCGGCGGGAAGCCTGCTTCTCCCTCTCCCACTCCCACTCCCCCTGCTTGTGTTCCCTCTCTCGCTGTCTCTCTCTCTATCAAATAAATAAAATAAAAAATCTTTAAAAAAAAAAAAAGTAAAAACAGAACAAAGCAAAAAAACCCTGACATATGGCAATTTTGAGATGATAGAGAACATGACAAAAATGAAATAAAAGTCCATCAGTTCCAGAAAGCCTGGACTTACTAGGTGTAAGTCATTACAGAAATAGTTGGGAGATAGTAAGGAACATTCAAAGATTGATGAGGAAGAACCTCGATGAAGAGCCCCTGTTCTTTTTAATCCCTAGAAGTTTGGAGACTGCATTTCAATTAAGCTGCAGACAAAAAAAGGGACCTTCATTGATCTTGTCACTATTTTCTTCCCGTACCTGCTGTAAAGTGACTGGAATATAACAAAATTTGCTGAATGGATGAAGCAGAATTACCTTCTCTATAGTCGTGCTGAAGAGAAAGGCAGAAATTAACTATTTTAAGGAGCCAAAAGAAAAATGGAGGAAACAGTTGTTCTTTTTCAAGTTTTCTCAACTCTGCTTTATGTTCACAAAAAATAAAGTTGACTGTGAAGCCACTTTCTCACATGACAATCACAACTACTTCACCAAAGTCCAAGAAATGCCAGCGTTATCATAACCTGCTCGGCTTTACATTCACTATGGTTGGACAACAGAGCATAGTTGTAACAACTGAGAAGCTGAGGGAAATTGTCCGTTTTCACCTTGGAGGGGCAGTTTCAAATTTTTACTTTCAATTTTAATTGTAAGGTTTCCTGTTCAAGTTTCCCAAGCTTCTAAAACTTATAAAGTGCCAAAAGTTTGGATCCTGGGATTCTGCATCTATGTCATTAAATGTCTGACTTCCGTTTTACCATGGTCTTAAAAGCTGAATTTTAAACAATGTGTGACACATTTATCTTCTTTGGGGAAACTGCTGGGACAGCTATATGCAGTTCCTACCAATCTCATCTGTTGTATATTCAAATGCCTGGCATGCCTAAAACATGACAGCAGAGAAATACCATGAAAATTATTTATGAAACTATTTCAGTGAGCACTCATCTCTTAAGAGAAGGTTATGAATGAGAGTAAAAGAGCCAGAGGAGAAACAGCTAAGGCCTGCCATATTTCGGTGTTACTCTATTTCCAGAAAGAACTCAGGCCAGATTAGAATGATGCCAAAGAACCAGTACACATGCATGCTTTCCCTCTTTCTCTTTAATAACATAACTATTACTTCGTTATGGAAGGCCAGGTTCTCCTTAATCAAATCGAGAGCATGTAGCTTACAGATACAAAACTATTTAAAAATGGATGAACAATTTCCAAAAGGATAAAAAATCCATGTGTTCAAAGTAACCTGAAGGGTAAAATCTCCAGCCAATTGTTGCCGAACTCTTTTCAAGAAGTGTTCAGGCACAAGAATGGCCTTTCACAGGAAGAGAGACTGCAGATCCAGAGGCTGTCTTAAACTGGAGTTACCACGCAAAAGCAAGTGGAAAAAGCAGCCAGCCCCACCAATACAGATTTTCTCCAAGGTGAAAGAAAGGTAGGCTCTTTGGGGTTCTGATCTGACATTTAGCCATTTTATACCAATCCCTCGCAATCCTCCATTAACTCAAGAACTGTCTGGTGAGTGAACGGATGTATCAAGAAGATTTCTGACATACAAAATGGTTTCTGCTATCTCAAATATTTCAGCGGTACTCTAAGAACTTTTAATATTTAAAATATAAAGAATTCACAGAAAGCCAGACCATTTTCAGTGTTTTCGCTATAAATAAACAGGGTCTTAATTTTTTTAACTAAATAAAATTGAATTCATGTGTAAGTTTCAAAAGCAGTTTTGATCAGCAACTTAGCAGGTTTTAGTAATTGAGAGAAAACACATGATGAACAGAAGCTGAACTAAAGAGACTGTTTTAGGGGCGGCTGGGTGGCTCAGTCAGTTAAGCATCTGACTCTTGATTTCGACTCAGGTCATGATCTTGGATTATGGGATCGAGTCCCACATCCATCTGGGCTCTGCAGAGTGCAGAGTCTGCTTGGGATTCTCTCCCTCTCCCTCTGTCCCTCCCCATGTGTGCTCACTCTTGCACACTCTCTCAAATAAATTCTAAAATCTTTAAAAGAAAGAGATTGTTTTAATATTTTTAAAAGCCCACAACATTAAGAAAAGTGAGAAAGAAATCAGGCCCCCCAAAAAGGAAAGAAATATAATTAAGCTTTGAAAAAAAAAGAATTTCAAGAAAAACAGAAAACATGGCTATTTTCCCATATTACCAAGTGTCTCTCAAACTAACAATGCCCCACACCGTTACAATCAAAAGGGAAAAGAAGCTAATGAAAATTTTATAAAGCCATGAATGTCTCCAGTCATCTACTACCATGGGTCAATCCAGATTATAGGCATTTCCTCAGTGACACACTGAACTTTCATCCAAGGGAGAGTTACTTTTAAATAAGTCAGAAAAACTAAGAATAACAATTTCGTACATTCATTACTATATAAACAGCTAGCTTAGCCAGTCTTTCCCCATCATAAAAAAACTAAAGTACAAAGAATTGAAAAGTACATAGTCAATAAAAGGTCATTTTTACAGGTTTATTTGAACCCTGAGAGTTTTACATCACCTCACATCAGATCACCCTGCTAGACAGGGTTCCCCCACACGCATAGATTTTTAGCTAAATACGCCTTCTGCCTAGTTTCTCATCTCTCAGAATTTCTCTGTTAAGTCCTCGGTAACAAGGAAGTTAAAGCATCCTGACCTAGTCAGAAGCATGAATAATTACTGCATGAAACAAGCAATTCTAAACCCACTCAAATTAAAAAAGTCATTAGAAAAGAATTTAACAAGCAAAAGGTAATAATGAACTGTTACCAGACACATATTCAGATCCTTTTTTCAAAGAACTATCACTAACTTATTTTTCATTTTTCTTAAAGTCAGCAGTACATTACAACAATGCCTCAAAAAAATTTCTCGATCTTTCCATCTTTCCCATTTTGAGCAAATCCCCGCATTTCTTACCCTATTTTTCAAAGTGGTATTAACATTTCAGAGAGATATCTCAATGAAATTTCATAAAGAATCATCCTTGTAGCTACAAAGAAAAGAGCTTTCAAAAGAGCAGATGCTCACAGCTCTTTCTAACCACCTTGTTCTATTCAAGGATGTACCTCCTCTAGCCTGCTGGAAAGAACTGGAAGATTAATTAGAGCAGAATTAAAATGATGGAGTAGAACTGTACAGGTGGGGATAATACCACCACCACCACACACAGGCCTAGTTCCTGGTATCAAATGAATATTGAATTGTTTAGAGGCCATCAAGACCTAAATTTAAAAAAAAAAATCTAAATTATTTTTCCTGATCTAGGGCAGGGGACATTTCACTGATGTTTGGTCATCACACCAGTACAAAAAAGTACTACATCAGGGAGCCTGGGTGGCTCAGTCAGTTAAGCATCTGCCTTCGGCTCAGGTCATGATCCCAGGGTCCTGGGATCAAGCCCCATGTGGGGCTCCTTGCTCAGTGGGGAGACTGCTTCTCCCTCTGCCCCTCATCCCCAACCTCATGCTTTCTCTCTCTCAAATAAATCTTAAAAAAAAAAATAGTACTACATCATGTATAAGAAAAAGCTCAGTTACAAAAGCATATAACTTAAGCTAAAACATTTCCTTGTTTCTTTTAACTACTAAACAAAGAAAACTGGGCAATGAAGAACTGCCCATTATCATTTACCAGAATTCTGGATCCGCCATGTCTTTATAAACTGAGTATCAGGAGGTATCGACTCCCCTTCTCCTATGGTGACATCTTCAACAAACGACATAGAGGGTACACTGATGTTTGGGCTCTCAAAGTCGTAATAGGCGCCAATTGCTGCTTGTAGGTTCCTACAAACAAAAAGAAAAGGCAAAAGATTTTACTTTAGTCCTGTCCAGAGTCTATTATCTTGATTCTCAAAACAAATGGAAAAAGCCTGTTTCTTAGGGTTTGGTATAGAACCTTAGGCTCATGATATATAAATTTTTAGAGCCACTGGTTCTGCCTGAGGAACAATAAGAAAAACACCAAGACCAACAAACTTGTGCATCACTTTCCTCCCAAGTGCCCACATAAAAAGTAAGAAACATGAGCACCATCAGCAACAAGATGAGGTAATCTCCATCTTACCCACAGGGATAGCAAGTTTGGGTAAGGAAGTCAATTAAAAGAGTGCTCTTCTACAACCATGATTGGAATTCAAAAAAACTCTATTTTAGAAGACATTCTAATTATTTAATTTTTTGAAAAGGCAACACATGCAGATGGTTCAAAAGTTTTGTACAGTGAAAAATAGCGATCTTATCTCTTCTTTCCTATACACACACATACACACACACGTAACTGCTCATATTACTTTCTTCAATCTTTCCAGAACTTCCTTATGCACATACAAGCAAATAATATATACTCTTATTTCTCCCCCTTTTACACAATTATTGGCATATTATACACTGCCCTTTGCTTTATTCCCATGAAGACATTCCTATGTCAGTACATAATGAATATCTTGTTTTTTATAGCTGTATCCATTGTACAGATACATCATTATTTATGTAACCAGTCCACTTCTGAGCTTGTTTCCAACCTTTAATTCTTCCATAAATAAGCTTAAGCAAACATTGTTTTTATATACATGCAAGTCTATCTGTAGGATAAATTCCTTTAAGTGATACTACTGCTGGGCCGAAGGGTATAGATTTGTGGTTTCAACAGATATATTCTAAACTTCCCTCAATAAAGTTGTACACTGGGTGGCTCAGTCGTTGAGCGTCTATCTTCGGCTCAGGTCATGATCCCAGGGTCCTGGGATCGAGCCCCGCATTGGGCTCCCTGCTTGGCAAGCCTGCTTCTCCCTCTCCCACTCCCCCTGCTTGTGCTCCTGCTCTTGCTATTTCTCTCTCTGTCAAATAAATAAAATCTTTTAAAAAAAAAGTAAAAATAAAAATAAAGTTGTACACTTACTGCTCCCACCAAGAATGTATGAGAGTGTCTATTTCCCCATTTGCTCATCAACAGTGTTCCTCCAAAGTTTTGGATTTGTGTCAATCTGATAGGTTAAAAATAAGATCTCAGTGAGGCCTTAAAATGGTTTTCTCTTGTTACACAAAAGGTTAAGTATCTTTTACATGTTTAGGAGCCATTTGTAGTTTCTGTTTTGGAAGCACCATTTTGTAAATGATGGTGTTCTTTTTAATTACTCATAAACCCCCTTATGTCAGAAGGAACTACCAAGCACACAAACAAGAGTCCCTAATTGAACTGAAACACATGATTGACAGCGCGTTCAGCCATGCCAGAAACCAAAGGCCACTAAGGGGTTTAAGCAAGCTGTGTTCATTAGAGAGATCAAAGAAATTGCTAGGAATTACAGTAACTGCTCCTCTTAAGGTCTTACTTAAACTAGTGACATCAGCTCTAGTCCCCACAGTGGACAACAACACAAGCTGCATTTTTCTAAACATAACCCAACCATAAGCCAATGGATCCAGTGGGTTGTTTTTAATTATGCATAAACATAGCAGGAAACAAGCTGTGACGGTATATAACTGTGCCACAGACATACTATTAACAGCAAATACTTTCCTGCCGGGGGCCTGCCTGCAGCCCAGGTGTTGCAGCTGCCACAAAGGAGGGCTATATTCAGAGCAGCTGCCTCAGGTCAAGCCTCACGCAACGGTGGCCTGTCCTATTAGTCAGTAGTGGCTGGAATTACACCACCACCAACTGCCTGCGTGGTGTATGTGTGCTGGATAAAACTGACATGGAGCAGAGCTGGGCCAGGGGCCAAACTGCCTATTTGCTTGACCATTCAATAGGAAGGCTTGGACTTCAGTCTTCCCAGCAACTTCCTTCTCTAGCTGACTGTGATCCAAAATGAATAATATGTGGCTGGTCAAACTTGGGGACGCCCAGCCTCTAACCACCCACAAACAGGCCCTAGGAGTGTATCCGGAATCAGCCTTACACTTAGGAATTAGGGACAAAATGAGGAAAAGAAAAGTAAGGCTAGTTTGTATTTTGTTCTTCTGAAAACTTTTTGTAAAAGCTGTGTGTCCACCCTTTTATAAAGATAATTTTTCTGCCGCAGGAACTCCAGCAAGTAGCCTGCTAAATTGTTTTCTGTTCACTTGGCTGTAAAATATGCTTGGGAGGGAAGAAACTATTTGTGCACTCAGGACAATTGCCAATTCTCATCCCCAGCATGTGTCATATTTCACCACTTGGCTCTGCCTGATATCAGAAAGGACTCAAGACCACTGCAGTAGAAACATGAACACGTTCAGCTATCCTACTTAGACAGATCTGGCCACCTCAAATCTTGTTTCACACAGTCCAACTCATCCCAAAGCCAAGCCAACAAAACTATTTATTTGTACCTGTATTATATAGGTAATCCAGCCACAGAAAGAGTAAGAAACACTTTTAAAGCCCAAAGTGAAACCGAAAGTAGTGAACTGGACTCCTGGCAGGAAGCAGGAGTGGAGGATGACAAAGCAAATTAATTTCCCAAGTACAAGGCCAAGAGTGGACTTAGCCCAGTGGTGCTCTAACCCATTCGGGAGGTACACATCTTAAAATGTGGGTACACAGCTTCTTGGCGCTTGGACCACTTAGATCACTGCCTTACTGGGCCAAGCAACGGCAGAAATAGACCAAACAGCTCCAATTCAGTGTGAGAACAAGGAGATATGAGAGCATGTATTCCCGTTCAAATCAACATACTCAGCTATTATTAGCCAACAAGAAATTCTACATGACAAGGAACTGGCTGAGGAAATGGGAAAAGGAAGAACATGGACTCTGTATTCAGCCCAGTCTGAAAGTTTAAACTTCCAGGTTCCTCCAATGTTTTTGCTCAAAAAAAGTTTTTAATCTGATTTCAGATTAAACCAAAAGCACCCTGAAGAACAAAGGCAGGCAGTGTAACTGAGGAAAAAAGCAGGGGCCAAGACGATGGTGATGGCTATGAATATGCTTAAAGCCACAGAACTGTACACTGCAAAGTGGTTAAAATGGTAAAATTTAGAATGGCTTTGTTTGGAGGCAGCGCCTACGCCTGGCTGAGGGGCTTTGAACAAGTGGCTATGCATCTACGTCAGCTTACTCAGCTACAAAACTGAGTTTGTTGTATCAGAAGGCTGGTTTATATTTTATATTACAAAGTTGGCAATGATAAGGTTGGCTGTGAAGACTGTATCAGACAATGTGTGTGAATGCCTTAGGGTTGGCATTCAACCAATATTTAACTAATAATGAGCACTTATCCATGTGCTAGGCACTCAACCTGAGACTAGGGATAGAACAGATGGCAAGATGGGCAAGGCCCCTACCTTTACACAGCTTATAGTCCAGCAGACTTCAGCAAGCTAGGGACATTCAAAAAGGGTAACTCCAACTGTCTCTCACACTGAGGTTATCAGTCCAAGGCAGCTTTTCCTACTTGAGTGAAAAAAATGGGCTTGGTGCACAACAGTTTCAAATGCACTGATAATCAGGTGAACCTGATTGAGAGTAGAAGAATTTGGTGATGTTGATATGTGTTCCCTAATGAAATGCAATTTTGTAACTCAGAAGCAATACTGTCGAACATTAATTTTATAGAGGAGGCCACAAATGCACTGACAGGTAAATAATTTGCCACATGCTAGACCATCAATTAGGAGGATTTATTCAAAGGCATAAAACTTTCAGCTTACCCAGAACTTTCCAATTATCTAATAACATTCTGAACACCTGATTTTCTTAAGAACATAGTAATTACCAGCATGAATTCTTTTTTTAAGATTTTATTTGAGGGAGCCTGGGTGGCTCAGTCGTTAAGCGTCTGCCTTCAGCTCAGGTCATGATCCCAGGGTCCTGGGATCAAGTCCCACATCGGGCTCCCTGCTCTGCAGGAAGCCTGCTTCTCCCTCTCCCACTCCCCCTGCTTGTGTTCCTGCTCTTGCTATGTCTCTCTCTGTCAAAAAAATAAAATCTTTTAAAAAAAAAGATTAAAAAAAAATTTTATTTATTTGAGAGAGAGTGAGAGCAAGAGAGCGTGTGAGGACACATGCATCTGAGGGGGAGGGAGGCAGAGGGAGAAGGAGAGAATCTCAAGCAGACTGCTCCCTGAGCACAGGGCCTGGCTCGGAGCTCGATCTCACAACCCTGAAATCATAACCTGACTCAAAATCAAGAGTTGGATACTTAACCAACTGAGCCACCCAGGTGCCCCCACCATCACAAATTCTTTAAACAAATTAGTTGTAATCCTCCCCCCTTCAGTTGAACTACTGAAAATGGCGAAGTATCTAATCTTGCAAAAATTCACAAACACAGAACATTTATTTCTGCACTATGTATACATATACAGGTCAGATTACTGATCTTATAAAGAAAAACCTTCTATCTGCTGAATATACAATCAGGAACATCACCCAAAAATTGGGGGTAGAAAAGAGTTAAGAAAATCAGGAAATCAGAATTAAAGAGGGAATGTCAGAAGACCAAGAATTAGCTCAGATTCTCAGGAAGATTAGATACCTTCTCTCTCCATTCTCTGAACAAGAAACTCAAAAAGATCCAAATTATTTATGAGAAAAAGAAAACTACCCAAATTTTGGACACAAATTAAAATGGGAAGTCAGAATAATGAACTGATTCAGTTAAGCACAAACAACAGCATCTTTTGGCTGTGAGCAATACTTATTCCGAACCACAAGAAGCTTCTCTCACCTCTGGAGCGCCGATGATACTGCTGCTAAGGCCACAAGCCCACCGGGAATCTCTAATGTGACTGAAATCATCTCTGAGTGACTCAAAAACCAGACTAGAAAAAGGATGAGCAAAATAGAAAAGGTTCTTATTA